CAGCCATGCCATACAAACACACACTGGGCTGGCTGCGTGGCCCGGGTTATCCCGTCAACCTTCCAAGCCACGGATTTTAGTGCTTCCTGAGAGCTGCAAGCGCATAGGATTGGTTATAGTGGAGAAAGTGCGCTGAAACGTCGAAGTCATCCTCTATTGCCATGCCCAAGGACGAGCCACCGTCCGATCCGGAAACAGTCAGTTATACGTAAAAACATGGAAACCGAAAACCACGGAAATCTGTAACAAGAGACCGGTGGTAATAGGGGTTATACGCGTGGGGCAAAAAAGGGGCGCAGGAGGGAAAATAAAAGAAATATAACAAACAAAAATAGGAACTGGCAGGTACCATTATTTTAATAAACTATACAGCAAGGAGAAAGCGCACGGTGACTAAAAGATAAACTAAACAAATTAATAAGATAATAAATTCAAAAATAAAGTACTAGTGCCACCGGTCCGGTGTTACAAAATTCAGGGGCTTTTGGTTTCTTTGGTGTTACCTATAATAAATTGTTACCCATTGGGACTAAAATTTAGTTTCAGAGGTAGGCGTGAACCAGCAGAGGCCAAGACCGGCGTGTACTAATACGGACTTTTTGAAAAAATTGCAGCAAGCGGCCATAGGTTACTTGCTAGCAGTTAGCAGTTCCAGTGGTCTAAAGCATCGAAATTATCTTGGGTTTAGTTGGCATTAAAATCGACACCAACAGAGCCGGCTCAATAGCAATGGACGTAATAAGTTTGGCTCTGGAGGTCGCGACTCAGCCTGCAGGTTCGCCAATCCTGCAGCATTGCAGAGTGCCAAATATAGTAAAATGATACGCTGAGAACGAAGAAAAGTACGATCGAAAAACATACATGACGACATTGTGCATTAAATAAGACCTCTACGGTCGAAAGTGAAATAAAGCATGATTAAAGAAGCACCAGACAGCAGATAGCTTAGGTCTGCATAATCCGATCTCTAGGGCAGGTTTGCGCGCCAGGAAGATTTTAGCAATGCCAATTCCGTTCTGGATTACGGAGCAGTCACTTTCACAGTTGGCTAACTATTCAACTGCCTTCATTCGGCTGCCGTGTGCTCCCGTTTAGCGGTTTCCTGTTGGTGTCAAATTGGGACACCAGTTAACGTACCGAAGACAGGATTAAGTATTAAAGTGCAATTTGCCGCCCAGTTTTAGGGCACCTTGGCTTCTGGGAGCTTGGTTAGGTCCTTTCTTGGCTTGTCGCGCACTTTATTGCTACGATAAGTAGCCATGGAGGTGGAGTTAGCCTCTCCGGCCTTCACAGGCGAACTGGTCGAGTCAGTTATCCCCCCTTTCTTGTCATCTTCGGTAGATGCCACAGCCTTGGCGCATTCCTGCAGATGCCATCTGGTGTAGGTTCGGAAGGCATGAGTTGAGAGCGGTGCGTGCACTTGGCGGCCCGTTTGCCCAAGAAAACAAACTTGGCCGGAGAAGATACCCAGCGGAGTATGGTTGGGAGGTAGACGGGTCGCTCCAACAAGTCGGCATTCACCGTCTACAAGCGGAAAGGTACACAGAGGTTGTATATCACTTGAGGGAAAGGAAAAGATGAAGAGGGAAACATCTGACTAAAAATATATATATATTGACTTGGGATCCTAAATGTTGAAACACGGGCAACTGCTCCAGCTCTTGCGTCAGCACTATGTATCTAGTATGTCAGATGTTAAGCAACATCACAAATGAAAAGCCAACATCCCTAGGACGTCCTGCCTAACTCAGAATTTATGGGCTACGTCGAATGGGATCAAACGAAATAGATGCTGGAAAAGATGAATGCACAATTCGCATGATCTCTTTTGAAGACAGGCTTTTCTTAAAGGATATCAATGTTTTGGAACAGGGGGTAAAACACGACCTTACCACTTTCAAGTCGAACCTACTGATTCGTTGGTACCAAATGAATGAGTCGTCGTCACAACTGCACTTTCTTTAGTTTGTGAGGGACCAGTATTGTCTGTTCAATATTAACAGAGCCTCCTGATTTCGGAGTCTAAGTATAGCTACCACTGCACATTTCTGATTAAAAAGATGGATAAAATCAGTCTGGAGAACATAAAAGGAACATTTTCGTTCTAGCACGTGATGCATTGCGTCGTCGCAAATAATAGAAAAAAACGGATGGAAGTTTACATGATAAGACGTTTCACTTACAGTTCCAATTTGCAGCAAATATTTAAGTGTTTTATTAGTAATTCCTGTGGAAAAACCCTGGAGGGTTCAAATGAGTGAAATCAGCAATAAGTGCTATATCAAATACAAATAACAATACCTTCAACACAGACATGTGTTTCGTCGGTTTTTACAACTGTGCGATGCAAATGCGAGGGGTTCGATCACAGTCAAAGGTCCAAGTATTCTTTATAAAGTTTCTGATAAGAATTGGACACCGACAAGCTATCTACCATATGGCAGAACTGAAACTTTCAGTTATTAAAAGTGCTCAGGCCTGCCCACAAGCACAAGACTCGTATATCTCAGGCGCTAGATTTGTGTAAAAAGATGGGTAAAGAGGTTGGCATAACAATGACTAAGGATCTCGGTTTCAAACCCCAAGTACTGGTGACGGTTAATAAGTTAGAACTAATCACTCAGCTCTTCCTCGTTTTTGACAGTACTCCATTGTCTGCGACCGTTAGCATGTCATATTTATGTTTTTTCGTTTGGATGGACCCCGAATTAACTACAGACTACAGCATTTTCCCGATCCAAAGGTCTGTTTTTCATCAAAAACGCATAATCCTGAGCTTAGAGGGGAGGGGAAACCTGATGAGGATGGAACGTACAGATAGTGGTCTGGAAAGAGCGCTGGGTTTTTGTGAACACTGTGGCTGTGGTCGTGTTCGGGGCAGTACTGAACTGCAGTGGATTCTGAGCGTATGCAGTCGGCTCTGTGGATGGGTTGCCCTCCAAAATCGTTGAAAAGTCCGGTAGGTTGTTCATCGAGGGTATTCGCACAAATTTGCGCTCCTTATCGCTGCCTTCTCTTCGAGGTGCAGCTTTTGGAGGACCGTTGGGCACACTTGTTGTGAAAAATCGATATACTGTCAACTTTTCCTTGTCCAGAACTACCAGGAGGGGCTGAAAACATCAGAGGCATGAAAGGGGTGTTAATTACCCAAGCAATAGTTGGCTAGCAGCTGGATGCGTACGCGCGATTGTAGCGTTTAAACGAACATCTACAAGTTCGCTCGCTGGAGGCCCTTGAAAAGTCCACGTGAGAAATAAGGCTTTCGTCTCAGCCGTCGGCAATTCCGGTTTTTGGGGACGTTCCTCCATAAATGTATTAATAAACTTCTCGGGAAAGCCGTTTTCCCGCAGAGTGTCTTGAATAAGGCCGAATTCGTTCTCCAGTGTATCTGGAAAACATATTCTCCTAGCTCGGTTTGCGTGGCAGCGGACTAAGTTTCTTTTCCAATTTAGCGGGACAAGGACTTGATCGAAGACTAAGTCAACATGTGCCTTCACACCTACCAAGCCGCGTTACAACGACATAGAGTAATTATCGGACCCCTTCTCCCTGCCCCCTATCTGATCCCTTGATAGGGCTGGAATATGACCCCTTGTCTCTGAACGCCCTCTCTTCCTTACTTACTGCTGATTGGATGTTTAACCTTTTGTTACTCTATCCTCCCTTATATTTTTGTAATTGCCTGATGATGAATAATCGATAACGTACGTCCGCCAAACTTGACTTCTTGAACACTTACATGGATATCATCATTTAGCCATTTAATATGTGGATTGGACGCAGTCTCAGGACCTGTTAGGTTAATAGGGAACGTATCGAAAGCAAAAATTGCTTACATGGCTAGAAGCATTCGCGACTAGGTGGCCAGCCCACAAAACTTGCAGTTTTTCATTAACGAAATATAGTAGACAGGGATAACCAACTTAAAAAGCAATTTTAATTAAAAAGGGTTGAATAAAGCATGCATCTGAACCAAAATTCTGAAATGCGTCATCGATTAGAACGTATTAATTGTAGTTGGGACACAGCCTAATCTCAATATATTTCAGTCACGCCAGGATGCCGGCGTTTGAACGAGCAGCTTTCTGGCCGCCTGCAAAAAGTAGTTGCAGTTGTGGACAAAGCAACTACGTCGGAGAAACCGTAAGATTATTCCGGACAAATGACCGAGCATGCAGCGGCGGTGAGGAAGAAAGACGCCAACTCCCAGGTTACAGCTCACTCGATGGGACCCAGCGATATTTTCAAGTTTGACAAGGCCAAAATCCTCGCAAGAGGTGACAACCGCGTGAGCCGCGAGCTACTCGAACCATGGTTCTCAGGCCCCCAGTTCATCAACAAACGCAACAATTTGGTGTTCCCATACTGCGTACTGAGACCTTGCCTGAGCAAGAGAATCAGTCACGTGGGAAGGGCCGGGCCCAGCAACAACAACTCGGGAGACAACGAGCATAATTGTCGCGCAGTTACCAAGCCCGCATCCGACACGGACAAGGAAATCGCGGCAATTAATGAGTCGAACGCGAAGTGTCAAGCCAGTACCGCACCAATTAAGACCTAAGCGGTGGCTACAGAAATGGATACTTATCGTACGCACGCAGATGACCACTATGAACTATAAATACCGCACAACCTGTGCATGTTTAAACTCTTGTTCCAGTGGTCGCATCTCCTTCTTCTGCATTTTTGGAGTTTTTGTTGGAGCCGGAGAGCCGCTTAGACCTGTACGTACGAATAGGCTACATGTAGGCGCACACCTTCTCACTCAAAATGGTGCTAACTGTGGAACTTCATGAGAATCCCCCCATTACTCAGCGTAGCATAGAGCCCGAAAATAAATTTAAAGCAATGAGTTCGTTTTTGACGGAAACGTGAGGTCGAACACCAAGCATAACTCTCCACCTCCCTTATTTAGGATTTCCCTCGTAAACACGCAACGAGCTTAAGTATCGGGACCATGGAATGTTTACTTCCGAGGGTTCAGTAGTGGCTTTAATCTTTTTAATTTCAACTAAAATATATGGTCTTATAGCAAACCTAGGAAAAAATCCCGGCTGAAAAAGGTTGACATACTTTACAAAAAAATGGCATTCGAGTAAAAAAGGAATTTCTTGCCAACGTACATTTTCCTCGTCCACCGTGTTCCAGAACACATGATAGGCCGTCGGTGGGGCATTGGGAAATTCCACGAGCGTATTCGGCAACTAAAAGAGAGGTAATAACTAAAGGAGGCTTTTACACTTGAAACATGTTAGAGGGGGAATTAAAAAGCTAAAGATCCACAGTTTCGTACTCTGAAGATACAACATAGAAAATAGCGCTTTAAAGCCCATAACTGGTTCTGAACCGAGATAATAAAAGGGTTATAATGCGTAGACTAAAATGAATCACAGTGAAGCGGTAATGGGGGAATGGGAATCTGAAAAAAGGTTAATGACTCCAAATAAAACGGCATTAAAAAGGAACCTGATAGACAACCGAAACTTCAGTCTTTATAAGCTTGCATAAAATGATTGTCTAGATGATAGATCTACCACATCCTGTATTGTCTTGACACAAGCCCAACAGCAGTCCACCACTAGAAATTCCGTTCAGCTAAAGCTGATTAGGGAAGAACGAAATTACGATACTGACTATTGTTATTTCCGGCTGAACAAGTCTGAAATTATCTACGTTCCTCTAGTGAAAATTCTGTTTCCCTCTTAGGAAAGCTGTTCCCCCCTTCGTCTGGGCCGCGTGTCCGTGTTCCCTTCCTCCCTCGAATTCTGGCCGCCCTCCCGTGTTTACCCACGACTCAATACTTCCCCCCGTTCGGTTCCCTTGCTTGTTATCACCTTATCGTC